GGTATGTAACAGGGAGGCACTGGAGTCCATGCCATTATTTGTATCTCGCTGTGAGAGTCAGAGTCAATCCCTCCGGGTAAGACAAACAAACCCATCCTGGTGGTTGACCATCATCCTATTAGAAGGGCATGGACACCTGGGCTTAAAGGTCCCCAGACCCCTGTAGGTATCAACACTACAGCAGTACATGTTATAATTGCTGGCTCTCTGGAGGCCAGGTCCAGCCCCGTGCTGTCTGAGGTGGCAGTGAGCAGATCGCTAACCTGTTTTCTTGGACCGTATTTTTTCATTGAACCGGTGCATATGGCCTCACTCCCTGTCTCCCATTTCCCTGATGGGAAGGGTTTTTAGACCCCCGCTTCCCATGGTGGCATTTCTGGCATATTGCCGAGGGCAGTTTCTTGGGGCAGTCCTTATAAAAATGATCAGCAGCGCCACATCAGTAGCAGCTGCTTCTCCCTCTTGCCCCATCCTGCAACCTCAGCTGAGAGTTTAAGGCTGTTGCTAGAGAGGCTGTGTGATGTTCAGTCAATCTGACACCCTGACATGCTTGGACCATCTCGACTATTGTGCAGGTTTCCCTTTTAGGGATAGCCTGCAGAGCTCACTTGCAATCCGGGTTCAAATTCTCATAAACAAGCTACCTAAAAAGCATCTATCTAGCATCTTCATGTTCTGTTTGCCTGTTTAAAGCCACCCGCAGCCGATCAAGGAACTGGGAGTAGGATTCAGTTGATCCCTGCAGAACCTTTGTGGAGGACAGATTGCTGTCCCTGTCCATGCTAGGGAGCTTTCTTATCGCCCTCAAAGCCAGTTGTGCTGTCACCTCATATATCTCCTGGGGGTAGCCTGCCTGTGAATCTGTTGCCGCGTAATCTCCCTCTCCTACCAAATGATTGCAAGTCATGCCTGTTTGTGAACTGCCTGGGTCATTTGCATACGCTGCACAATTCTCCCAATAGTCTGTTAACCAGACACTGTACTGAGTGGTAGTTAAAACCATTTTCGACAGCGTCTTCCAATCACATGGAGTAAATAGGTAAGTGATACTCAATGTCTCCAGATATGAAAACGTGAGACAAGGAAACGTCACTTTCTTTAACAAGTTGCCTCCTTTGTCACCTTATAGGGCAAGCTTTGGAACTGAGGGTTTTGGCGCAGCCGGTACATAACTGGGCATTCTTTAATAACCTGCCAGTGTCCCGTCCACATTGCGTCCTCGCAGCATCTTTCCCACTGGTTAACCGACACCCCCATGCCTGCTCTCTCGCCTTCACCTGGAGGAACCACCTCCGGTTCCTCCTCAGCCTCTTCTGATGCCTCACTATCCACGGCTCCGATATACTTCGCTCCTGGCGGCGGCGTGGCAGAAGATGGCCACCATGGCGGGGAAGAACCTCCCCCTCCATGCACACAGCCAGGAAAAGATGGCTGTGGGACTGGAAGAGACGGCTCAAGTTCCGGTCCATTTCATGCGCAAGATGGCTGTGCCCAGGTCACATTCCTTTCAGCACGCAACCATGAGTCATCAGCAACATGAGGGGGTGAGTTTGCTGGGTGCCTCTCCGCGATACCACAGCAGGAACCTACAATTCACCCCTGTATACTGAATTTGCGAATTATAATTCTTGTCCTTTCTCCACAGTTTGCACGTGCGCTAAAACCGGGACCTTCACCGTAACTTACATCATACTCCATCCGTTCCTGCCCATGCAAATCCCAACCCGAGTCCATTGTTAGATTCTCCTGGGTCGCACACTGCCCCCCCCCATGTCTGTTCCCAGTCTCTGGGGAATGGCTGTGCCTAGCAGCATGGCTGGGGGGGTGCAGAAAAATGTGTGTTAGTGTCTCTGGGGGGGTTCTGCCTTCTTTGAGCAGTCTGCAAAGCATCCATGACTTGCGTCCACGCAAGAAGGCATCTAGAGGCTTCTGTATCGCCTAACCTAGCTCTGTCTCTCATGGTTCTGAAAATTCTTTGCCAGGTGGTTATATTTAAAGCTTCTACGAGCAGCAGTCCTGGTGCAATGATTTTTACCCATTGCAAGAGATTTGTTATTTCTACGAGTGTGATCTTGATAGGATATTGTCTAAGCAAGAGACACACTGCTTCTGTATCCCTTTCTATGTCCTGGGAAACTGAATTCCCCATATCTTACCCTTTTTCTTTGCAGCTTTCCTCTTGAGTGCATTTTCTTGCCACTTGCTGTTTTTTCACCACTGCAGCTTTCGGTGTCTTTGGTCTCTGTCGCCTTTGGCTTTTCACCGCCTCAGCTTTCGGCGGTTTCATTTCATGCCACTTTCGGCTCGTGTTCTCCACTGCTTCTCTCGGCTTTTCTTCTCCACGTCTTCTCAGCTTCTGTTCTCCACTACATTTCTCCTGGCACGTGCACCTTCAATTTTTTCAAGCTCTGTTCAGTTGTTCAGTTTTGCATCCTCCAGCCGTGTTCTGCATTGAAGTCTCAATGCTTTTAAAGACGTCTGTTTTTTTTCTCAGAATGTGTTCCTGAGCTTTTATAACAAGCTAGTATGAACATAACCGCAATGTTCCTTGCCGCAAGACAGTCTATTTATCCCTGATGCAGGGAAAAACCCCCCCGTTCAGGGCATCAACTGTGGCTTTATTAATATAATAAATAAACCACACGACCCAGTTGCTTGGATTTCCAACAATCAAATCTGTTTATTAGAAGCGAACATCGCCTTTTATATGCCTTCGGAAACACATGATTCACCTAGCCAACCACCATGGGACTTACCACTGCCCATGTGTGTTAGAGTGTATTTTGGGAACTACTTCTCTCAGGATGCACCACCCAGCATCCCTGAAACATGTTCCCCACAAGATTTGATCATAATATTGCTGTCTCCTGAAATCCAGAAAATTATTTGTAACATACAATCTTAAGTAAACTTATTTGCAGCCACACTTAATCTCAGTTATGATATTTTAACAGTTAGAAAAAATATTTTTTTTGTTTTTAATGACAAAGTTTGTTGGAAGTCTCTCAGGTCTCACTGTTTGATTTTTTCTTTGTTTTATTTTCCTTTGCTTTATAGCATTCTTGTGAAGTATTTGCCATAGTCATCACTCACAATACATTAGACATTACTTTCCACCAAGGCTGTCCTTAGACCCTTTTCAAATTGTCAACATATGTCTTTATGGGCATTGTCAAAATCCAAATAGTGAAATTATAACACTTGAAATGAGGTGGTCCAGATGGGATCAAGTGGGACCAAGTGGGACTTCTGCACTGGAAGTCTGATTTGGGAGCATTACAAGGATAGGAGTATATTCATATACATACACAATTCACCTGTTCAGCAAGTGGTGAATTTTGAGCTCTCACTTCTATTTCCTTCTATTTCTCTTCTTCCCAAAAACAGAAAAAACAAAAGGGAAAAAACAAATTGTTTCACTAGCTTACAAAAATCTGTGAAGTATTCTGAGCATGTCTGGCTTTAGTTACATTATAAAGATTTACTTTATTTCCTTTTTTTTTTATAAAAGCATTTTAGTGAAGAATAAAAATGTAGAAAAAGTCTCTTGACAAATTCAGAGTTAGATTCTGAATTCAAAGATAAATCAAGCAGTATTTCAAGAGATAAACTGTAACTGAAAATCCACCTTTTCACATATATGATAAAATATTAACAAACAGCAACAACAAACAAACCAACAAAAACAATTAACAACAATAACAGCAACAACAACAAAACATCACTGAGACAGCGGTTGTCCAAGAAATGTTAAGCTTTAAATCCAGACTTTGGAAACAACATCTTTCTGAAAACATGTGGAAAAAATATGTTAGAATGGAAAGAAAATTAATAAGATTTATTTGCTATGTTTTACTGCTAGTGGTGTATCAGAAACAAAATATCTGTATTAAATACATGGTGTTCTTTTTCAGCCTTCATCCAGCCACTAAGCCCTGTCGGGTCCAGCCATTCAGGCAGAGTTTGCAGGTTTTCCACTAGATTACTGAAAATGATGCTAAACATAAGTATCCTTCATTTTACAGAGCTCTAATTTAAACGCATATCCTATTACAATGGAACAGCAAGTTTCTAGACCACAACAATCTTGGCATTTGCTCCAGAGAAAGACAGAACAAAATGGTCCTCAAAGGTCCATTCAAGTTCACCTGGATTCTGCTAAAATCACAAGTGGCTTTTTTGTCACTGTGTTGTGCAGCAGAAAGTACACAGTCAATGTGCTTAGACTGCACCAGTGCGTGCAAGGACCACGGGCTTAAATCTTTCACTAGGTGCTCTAGAAGAGGTTGCTGTTTAGATAGAGATGTAACATTTCAGACTTCCGCATCTAAGGTAAAACCTCTCTCAGAAGCAGGCACGTGGAGGGTTACATATTAACAACCAGTCTCAGTTACACCCAATGGGATTTGTGTATGTTGCTTTGAAAATGTAGCCTTTAGGCTGCTATACAGTTAGCATAACAAATACCTTCTATAAATGGCCAGGAAGACTGAACATGCAATTAAATAGCTGTGTTTTCTGAATCAGTATGAATTGATTGAAAAGTAAACACTTGAGTTTAATCTATTACTGTCATATAAAATTGGCTTTCTTCCTAAGAGACATTAAGAAATTTGGTCTGACTTATTATGTCTGTGTGAAATGTCTCTCAAAGAAGGAAAAATCTGCAAACTATCAAAGAAGGAAAAATCTGCAAACTATCATCCAGAGTAGAATAATAACAGACATTGCATCATTTGACTGAATTCAGTCTCTATTACTAAGTATATACGTGGACTTCGATTAACTGTGAGCCATAACACTGTTGCACCAGAAACAGCATATTATGTCTACAAGCTCATCAGGCCAGAAACCTTCTATGTCTGAAATTTGTCTAGCCCTTAAGGTATTCATATGCTGTTTAAACCTACCCTACAGAACCAATGGGCATGTACCCATTATCACTATAATTTTGCTTGAAATAAGACAAAATAAACAAAGTGAGAGGAAAAGAACTCCTAGATCCACTTAAATAGACAGTAGATTTTTTTATTAGACTGAAAAAGGAAGCAGTTTTGTGCTCTTAACTAAAGAAAGCATATTCAAAGCACAATGAACGTGAGTATGGTATCTTTGAGGGTGCAACAGGGGCAGGGAATCAAAGATCTTTTTCCTCAAGAGTTACAAAAAATGCATTAATTGCACTATATGCCCAAGTAGCTTTCTTTTATCTATGTATTTAAAACGAAAGGGGAAATGATAACGAATTAAAGAGTGCCTGGCTTAGAGGCAATAGAGTATATCAGCATTCAGAAAAGAAAAAAAATCTAAAATGGAAACAATTTGAAGAGAATAAAATTATACTCACAAACCTGAAAACTGAGTGAAATAAAGTGAAGATACACTAGCCTCTAGAATATGTCTCAGACTACAAGACAAATCAGTAATAAGTAGGAATTCTTGTAGCTAAAAACTGGGAGCTGTTTTCATGGTTAATAGGTCAAGATATATAGTGCACATAACATAAGGAAAGAAATATTTGCAGACAGTGATGACCCCAAGCCCAGCCAAAGTTCTCACAGTTTATAAGAAAAAGTATTCTACCTCTTAAAAATTGCTTCCCTCTGTTCTCACAGGTCAGCCTCTCAAAAAAAAGACTGCATTCTAGTCTGGCCAGTATTCTAGTACTCATCACACCGGTGAGCCAAAAGATTTGTCTTGTGGCATATGTTGCACAGAGCTCTCCCACTGGGTCAATAGATTTCACAGGCAGTGTAATACAATTGCTGAATTGGATCCATGAAGTTAATTGAAGTAAAAATTACACTGTAGCTGTTTCCTTTCTTTTTTTTCCTGCAAGATTATGTTCAGGAAGTAAATTATAATTTTTTTGTATTTCTATGAAGGCATTCCAGCATTTTAAGCCTTTCTTGACTTAGGTGCCATAGACAGGATTTCAGTCCTTGAGGTTTACCAGCACAGATTTCCATCCTTATTTTCTTTACAGAGAGGAGATCCTACAGAGAGAAGTTAATGCTTGATGTATTTTTTAGAACTAAAAAGAACTCTTTCTCATGCAGTCCAGTGCTTCTGTTTAAATGGAAACAAAAAGGTTGTCAGTCTCAAGCCTTCATCCGACACAAAATCTTAGATTCTTAGAAGCCTATGTAACTGTCTAGGTTGTTTGTTTTGCGGCTGGATAGGAGATTCAACTACAACCTTGATCTATAATGTTTATTGTGCTTTACCTTTGACTGGCAGGACTTGATGTCTTCATCTAGTTCTTTAACTTCACAAACTCATATCTGCAAAGGGAGTTTTAGAAAACATAATAAATATTTATTAACATGCATACAGCTTTTATACAATATATGATTTTAGATTAATGGCTAAAATTAGAGTAATAGGAAAACTACCTATGGATAAAAGAAGTAGCTGTTTTTCAGACCTCACAATGAGATTTTCCCGTATTTGTGTTAATTATAGAGGAGGCAACCCTCAACATTTAAAGTATAATACCAAGTTATTTTTTAAATCATCAGAAAGAACGGGAAGAAAAACAAAGAAAAGGTAAGTACTCTTAAATCTGAAATCAAATAAATTTTGTTTTTTATTTTTTATTTTTTATTTCCATTGCCATTCTGGGAAACACAGTGCTCCTCAGTCCCACCTTCCATTATGCAAGTAATCTCTTCTGCGCATGTGTGGCTTTCCCCACGCTTGTGCACTGCACCTGGGGGGGTCTTTTCCAAATGAGTCTAGGGGTTTACTTCATACCCATAGTCTTCAGTCTCTCTTTCAAGCAATCTTGGAGGACAATCAGCCAATCATAAAACAGCAATTAAATATAGTTTATACAAAAACTCTCTCCAAGGACAAAGTTCCCGTTTTATCAGTGCTTGTTTTCTCCTAACTTGGCAGGGAAAGAACAAAACTTTTACAGGTGGCTGGGCCGAACACAGACCAAAAGTATCAGTGTAATTAACCTCTGATACACCATTTAAGGCAATTTGCATTTTGACAGTCAGAAACATGGCTGTAGCAGCTTGTGTCTGACTATGAGACTATCAGACAAGAACTTTACCCCTAGTACAATCTTTTACACTGGTCTGTATGATATCAAAAGGAGGATGTGAAAGGAGTTTCTGTTCAAGCTCTACATGTGGTGTCTCAGACTAACTGGCAACTTGAGTTTCAGGAATTTGTGACTACTTTTTTTTTTTTTTTTTAAGTAGCAAGATCCAAATCAGTTCAGGAATTTTTTTTCAATTTCAATTGAGTGCGAAGCATGCCAGGATCACATGTGATTTATTAGAGATGACGTTCAAATCTAAATGAGAATGATTATTTGCTACTTAATAGAAAATTCAGGGAAGTAGCATTTTAAATAGTAGACCAGATATATGAGGAAACACCTATAGCATCAACCATAGATGTGTGAATGCACAGGAATATTTATAAAGGTCATGGTCAGCCCAGAAATTATCTGACGTAATCACACAAAATACAATAACTGTAAGGGACAGTAGGGCTGACTGTAGTTATTGGTAGGTGAGAGAAGGCTTCAGAACAGCTCCTGGGGGAGCATTGATGCAGGGTCAGGACCAGGAACTCAGAGAAGCACTTTAATGGTTCTTGCATAAACATGATCTCTCACAATCAGCTACTCTGTATGCTCGGTTTGCACTAAGTGCACTTTTCTTGGTCTCTTCCCCTTCCAAAACTCCGATGTTTTTGGCTTATCTCTCATATACACAGTTCCTCTGCACCCACTGCCAAATATGACAAAGTCCTCATTGTCAGTAATTCAACTGTATTTACTCCTAAAGGGGCTATTTTGAACAGATTTTACTAATTAAAACATAAGCATAGTAAGAATTTTGCCATTTTATTACACAACTAGAAACCAGAAACAAAGATTTGTGTACATATGATGCACTCATTTTGCCTGGAGTAGAATTAATTTTCTTCACAGTAGCTAGTATGGGGATGAGTTTTGGATCAACACTGGAAACAGTGTTGGTAATACAGAGATGTTTTTGTTACTGCTGAGTGGCACTTACAGGGCATTAAGGCCTTTTCTGCTCCTCAAACCACCTCACCAAAGTGGTGGTCCCAGGCTGGGAGCGCACAAGCAGCTGGGAGGGGACATGGCCGGGACAGATGACCCCAATTGAACAAAAGGATATATCAGATCATATGGCATTGTGTTCAACATATAAAGCTGGAGGCAGAAGGAAGAAGAAAGAAGGGGTGACATTTGGAGAGATGGAGTTTGTCTTCCCGAGTCATCATTATGTGTGATGGAGACCTGGTTTCCTGGGGATGGTTGAAGTCCCACCTACCTATGGGAATTGTTCAATTAATCCCTTGTTTTGCTTTGCTTTGCTTGCATGTGTGGATTTTGCTTTACCTATTAAACAGTCTTTATCTCAACCTACTAGTTTTCTCACTGCTATTCTCTCTGTTCTCTCCCCCATCCCGTTGGCAGGTGGATCAGTGAATAAGCAGCTGAGTGTGGCATGGTTGTCAGCTGAAGTTAAACACATTGGCAAATGTGGTATACACCGGCTTTCCTTGAGCAAACAACATTCCCAGGAATATTAAGATATCTCTGAGGTATCTGGAATAGGCAGAATTAAAACAAAGAAGTGTTCAGGAAAGACAAGTTTCAAGGAATAAGCAGCTCACTGGTGAAACACACAGAAAAACCACACATAAAAAAATAGGAATACCAGCATCATCAAAGAGAACAAACACAACACTTTTAATTAATACAAATACAGAGGAAAATATACATGCAGTGCTAAAATGGCTGCTAAATCAGTTGGACAATGGTATTAGAGTTTTCAATTAAACTGTATGCTGAGAAGAAATTCTCTAATGTTGATCTGATAGCAAATGTGCTACACTGCACGTTCCATTTCTCTGGCAGTCACCATGGGTACATACGTAGTCTGATAGAGAACTTATCATTAAAAATCAAGGCCAGAAATATTGTTGGAACTTCAGCTTTCTCCATTACTCTTGTCATCAGCTCTCCTGTCTTATTTAGTAGGGGAAGGCACATTTTCTTCAATCTCTTTTTCTGACCTACATACCTGTAAAGCAGAATCACAGAATCACAGAATTCTGTAAGGTAAGGTTACAAGGGACCACAGTGGGTCTTCTGGTCCAACCTCCCTGCTCAAACAGGGTCATCCTAGAGCACATTGTACAGAATTGTGACTAAGCAGATCTTGAGCATTTCCAGTGAAGGAGACACCAAAATTTCTCTGGGTAATCTGTTCCAGCGCTTGTTCACCTGCACAGTAAAGAATTTCTTCCTCATATGCAGAAGGAACTTCTTGTGCATTAATTTCTGCCCGTTGCCTCTTGTCCTATGGCTTGGCACAACCGAGAAAAGCCTGGCTCCATGCTTTTCGTACCCTCCCTTCAGATACTTGTGTACGTTGATGACATCTCAGTTGTCTCTTCTCAGGGTTAAACAGACCCAACTCTCTCAGCCTTTCTTTGAAAAAGAGATGATCCAGTCCCTAAATCACCTTTGTTGCCCTCTGCTAGACTTCCTCCAGGAGCTCCATGTTACTTTTGTACTGAGGAGCCCAGAACTGGACACAGCAGTCCAGATGTGGCCTCACCAGGGTTGAATAGAGAGGCACAATCACCTCCAGTGACCTGCTGGCAATACTCTTCCTAACGCACCCCAGGATACCATCGGTCTTCTTGGCCACAAGGACACACTGCTGGCTCATGGACAGCTTGTTGTCCACCAGGACCCCAGCATCCTTCTCCACAGAGCTGCTTTCCATCAGATCAGACCCCCGCCTGTGCTGGTGCCTGGGGTTATTCCTTCCCAGGAGCAGGACCCTGCTCTTGCCTTTGTTGAATTTGAGAATGTTCCTCTCTGCTCATCTCTCCAGCCTGTTGAGGTCCTTTCGGCCACTCCTCTCAGCTATGAGGGGAACCTATGAGAATGTTGAGAGAAACAGTGTCAAAAGCCTTGCTGCAGTTGAGGTGGACAATATCCACTGCTCTCCCCTCATCAAGGGGAGATGAACAACTACAACAAGGTAGTTGTTTCACCATAGAACACAATCAGGTTGGTCAAACAGGATTTACCTTTAGTGAATCCATGTTGACTACTCCTGATCAATTTCCTGTCATTCATGCTGACGGAGCTGGTCTCCAGAATGAGGTGCTCCATCACCTTTCCAGGGACTGAGGTGAAGCTGAGTGGCCAGTAGTTCCCTGGGTGCTCTTTCTTGCCCTTTTTGAATACTGGAGGGGCATTTTGCTTTCTTCCAGTCCTCAGGCACCTCTTCTCATCTCTATGACCTTTCAAAGATGATCAGGAGTGGCCCAACTATGGTGTCCACCAGTTGTCACAACACTTGTGGATGGGGCCCGAGGACTTGTGGATGTTAAGTCTTCCTAGGTGTTCTCTAATCCAATCCCCCATGACCAAGGGAAAGTCTTTCTTCCAAAATTCCTTTACCTTGTTCTCCCGTGTCAGAGATTCCTGAGAACTGGTCTTGCCAGTGAAGATCAGTGGAAAGAAAGCATTTAATAACTCTGTATCCTCTGTTACCAGGGTTGCCCCCTCCATTTAGTAACAGGCCCACATTATCTTTTATTTCCTTTTTGTTACTGATCTATTTGAAAAAGTCCTTTTTTCTTTCCTCGACATCCTTGTCCATGTTTAATTCCAGGTGGGCCTTGGCTGCCTTTGTCTCATTTCTATGTACTTTGATGACCTCTGTATTCATTCCAAATGACCTGACCCTCCTTCCATCTCCTGTGTGTTTTGTGCTCACACTTGAGTAATGACAGGAGTTCTTCATCCACAGATATCTCTTGCCCCCTTGGCCTGATTTTTTGTTCATCAGGACGCACCATTCTTGAGCCTGGAAGAGGTTGTCGTGGAATATCAACCCCTCTTTCTTGCAGGGTCTGCCCCCATGGGATTCTTCCAAGAAATCCCTGCAGAGGCTAAAATTAGCTTTCCTGAAGTCCATGGCTCCAATCTTATTATTGCCTTTCTTCCTCCTCGCCTGATACTGAACTCCACAATCTCATGGTCACTACAACCTAGGCTGCCCCAGCCTTCGTATCTCCAGCAAAGCCTTCCCTGTTAGTATGGGGTCAAGCAGCACAGCATTCCTTGTGGGATTCTCCATTACCTGTGACAGGAAGTTGTCATCATCGCTTTCCAGGAACCTCCTGGGCTGTTTGTACCTGTGACTCTGAGGCTGCTTCGAGCTGCCTGTAGAAGGCCTCATCCTCTTCCTCCTTCTGGTCAGGTGGCCTGTAGCAAACATTCACAAAAACCCTTCTTCATCATCCTCATCATCATCATCAACAGCAGCATTATTAAATATTAATTATTATTGGTGGTGATGGTTGTTGTTAATGATTATCATTATAATTAAAATTAACATTGTTGTATCACCCTCACCACAGTCAGCTGCGATTATACCTTAGATTTCCTAATCCCATCCCTTCTTATGCAGGTATCACCCCTATATTCTTCCCATGATACATGGCACTGCACTGCCTGTGCATTTCCTTCTTACACTTTAGTTTGTCTAGGAGGTCCTTACTGACCCAAGTCAGTCTCTTTGCTCAGTTTCTCTGATGTAGGAATCAAGAACTCTCATGCTTAAAGAAGAACGTCCTTAAAGAGCTGACAAATCCATTTGTTTCCTATGGTCCTGAAGGCAGTTTCCCATAAGTTCTACCACTTATTTCTTACAAAATTGAAAGTTGTTTCTCCTAAAATTTAGCACTCTGACTCTACTTGTCAACAGGCCCATTTCCCTCAAGACTATGAATTTATCAGTGCACAATCATTGCAGACTACCACCTACCACCACTTGTTATCCCTTGTTCTTCTGTGTTGATGAGCAACAGGTCCAACAGTACTTCTCCTCTGGTCAGACTGTGGTGAGGTCTTCAAATTTGAGGTCTTACAGAAGTAAAAATGGGAAGAAAGCACTTACAGGCACAATTCTAGACAGATTTCAAATAAGTAATCTTTTATAATGGATAGATTGCAACGTGGAGCACATAAGGGCAGATTTGTGTTCTTTTTGGTAAAAAACATGTATACAAAGTCACTTGCAAAAGAGTATACTGAATCAACTGTACTTTCAAGTAAATCAACTAGTATTTTAATTTCAATTTGCAAGTTAATGGAAATTATAAATCTAAATTTCAGGACTGTAGGTGTCATGAGTCTTATAGCATCTATTATTCACAAAATCACAGGCCTTTTGTGCTGACTGACATCCAGTTAGTAGAGTTAAGGGGCCTTTTCCAAGAATCTTGCTGCTACAGACAACCCTCCTGAAACGTGTGACCTCAGGGTCACTAGATGTTTCACTCCTGTAAAAGATGGAAGTGCTACCACCTTCAGATTCACAACCTTCTAGCAACAGAATCAAGATAAAGGCAAACATTTTGTTCCAACAGGATTTTTTTTTTTTTTGGTGGCAATGCAACTGCTTTCATGAATAATAAAGATACAGAGCCAAAGTGAAGTTCAGTCAGCTTAGAAGAATAAAGTATTTTACAGTTTCACAATGACTGTTCTTATTTTTGGATGCCTGCAAGATCTTGCTGCAAAGCTATTATTATGAGATCCCCTATATGTAAGAATTGGTGTTGCAGGAAGAGACAGAACTGTGTCTTTAGGAATTGTACAGAAGAAACAGCTACAAAACAGTCCCTTGAGACAACTCCATCTAGAAGGAACTTTCACCAAAGTTTGAAGTCCCACCTACAGGGCTCCCAAAACTTTTGAACAAGAGTATTAGCTCCTACTTATCCCCACAGAATTCCTGGGTGACAAAAGAGTGGCAGAGAGATCAAGATTTAGGCTAAAGGAAATAAAAATTTTCTCTCTTTTGCAGTGTTTATCTTTTTCCTTGTCTTGAAAATATCCTTGATTTCATTCAGCCTGTTTATTTCTACAGTAAATATCCAGGCACATGCACTTTGAAAATTATGAACATATGTATTTGGATTGAAATGAGATGCAGAAAATAAAGCAAAAATATGTAAAATAGGAGTTATTGTAAAGTCTACCTCATTATGTTTGCCTGCGTCTCAAGTCTGGGGAGTTTCCCCTTTCTACCCCCACTGCATATTGTCTAAAGAAGATACTTTAACATATACTCTTTTGAGAGCAGTAAGTCATCCAAAACCAGGAAGATGATATTGAGAATCACATGTATGATGAGCCTATTAAAAAAAGAAAAAAGCATCTCTAGTCCTTTTGTTTCCAAAGGGGTTCCCTACTTTAAATCATTTCCAGGAAAATCAATTGTAGAAACCAATGATACGAATCAGACCTCCTTCATCTCTCCCTTTCTTTCCTGGTGCCATTTGGAGGTTCACTTATAGCTCTGCACGAAGGGGCTGGGAGCAGCTGCAGCTGTGCAGCAGATGTGTCTGGGGATGTTCTGCACCTCTGGGATAGATTACGGAAAACCACTTTGGAGGAGGATCAGGGAGAATGTGACTCCTACCATTACTGTCTCTCCCTTCGTAAGATACACAGCAGCTGCCAGATGTTATAGAACAAGCAGAGAGACTTGATCTAGAGATCCAGATTAGAAGATCAGGAACCCTAGAGATCAGGAGTCAGTCCAAGAGAGCTTTACCTTCCAAGGTAGTGGGAAAGTACAAGGTCTGACAATGCCTGATGGTGCAGGAGGTGATGGTGAGGCAAAAAATTCATTCTGGGAGATCTGCACATTCCCTTCCTGGTCACACCATACCCAACAGTTTTCTTGGATGTACCCTTTTGCATATATCCAGTTATTTTTATTTCTGTAGGAGAAATTAGCTGTAATTTGAATTGATCTTTTAGACAAAAGGAATTTATATTGAATTTTGGTTTGAGTTTAAATAGCTTCAGAAAAAAAAAAGAGAAAAAAATGAAGAAAATACTGTGGGTTAGATCACCATTATTATATTTTCTAAGCAAAATATTTCCATTTCTTAACTATGAAAACATTTTTCAAAGTCAGCTTAGATTTATTGTTAAGAAGTGTGAAAATTGCAGAAATACAGTGCCTTGATTTATTTCAGATTAAATAACACATTCCTATTGGGTGATTAAATTTCTCATTTTATTATATTTGGTCCAGTTTGAATCACAAATAAATAAATAGCTGAATTTTCATGGATCTTGAATTGGCTATAACTAATCTGATTAGAAAAATAATCATTTGGCAATTTTCTTGGTGAGTGGGCACACTAAATGCCACAAATTCACAGACATGGCTTGTGTCCAATTTAGATAAAAAAGTGTAGCATTTAATATTAGTAAAAGGACTTGTTATAGCTGTGGTGGTCTAAATATAAAAAAGAGGAAGAGTTTTTAGTGGTGATGTGAGATGTGCTGGAAAAGTGGGGACAACCCTCTTCCCTTCTTGCTCCCTCCACAGGCAGAGAAGTTCCCAGCACTGTGGTCCCATTCCAAGAACCATGGCAGCTGAGGTACCTTTTAGATCAGTCACCAGAGCTGGGAGCCAGGGCAGATTTTGGACAGGTGAAATGCAGATACCTGCCTGGGCCAACAGTTTGGCCAAGCCTTGCCTGAGTATCACCCTGTAGTGAGCAGCCATACCAGCACACCTTCAGTTTAGGAGACCCCAGTACTACCAGCCCCTTAGCAAGATTCTTTCATTCCAATTTTAAGTTCAGCAATAAATCTGTTTTTCATTAATGAGAGAATTAACAAGAGAGACAACCTCATTTCAAACCTATTAAAAACAAAATTAAGTATATTAAATAAGATATATAAAGTGGTATGGGAAACTTCTTTCACCAATAACCATGACTGCAGCCAGAGTAATCCCATCTAAATTGCTGTTGAAAAATTGCATCCCGCGGTTTTCATATTTCTGAAGGTCACTAGCTCCCTCAGACTAGCCCTACCTTAATTTCCCTTGCATTAGTTTTACAACAGCACAAGTGAATGGCCTTTGAGAGAGTTACTTCTTTCCATAAACTCATTTTAATAAACTCAGGATCTGGTTAAGTAGGTTTAATTACACAGATGCTGTTCTTGTCTCATTGACTCTGGTAGAAGTCTGAGGTGTAAAGCAATCCAAGAAAAATCAGAATCGGCACCTCTGCTTGCACTGTGGTGAAAAGCATGTCTGATTATGCTGAAAGAGCTTGTATCTTAGGTGGGAAATACTAGATTACAAGCAGAATATTATATCTAAACATGACATGTAATTCATTGCACTCTCCTATATCTCACCTACGTCTATTGTCAGATCTTTTTTTTCCTCTTTTTCCTAGTTACAACAAGGAACGGAGATGTGGTAGAAGTCAAAAGGTTGAATTTTACAGTTACAATTCTTATGCAGATGTGCTCATTTTTTGAAGCTTAGCATTTAACCACAGACCATGACTGGAATTTATTAACTCACTAAAAAATTATAGTATTAGGTCCTCACACATTGTGTAGTGACTGCTTGCTTAGTTATCCATATCTAAAGAGTTAAAATGGTGGCTTTTGCTGATTTAATATTCTATGAGCTTTCTGCTGGTGTGCAGCGTACTGTGTATTAACAACACAGGTCATGGAATACACACTGAAAGCTCACTCTGGAAATACCTGAAGGACACATCGAACTCTTCAGAAATCTGTGTCATAATACTTCATGTGTTAACAGAATACATGGTACAGTGATGCGTAGCAAAGGATCAGCCTGGGGTGGGCATCTGAAGTGCTCTGTCTTGCTGCCGAATGTTAGAGTGAAGCATTGTAATTTTATTCCAATTACACTTTTAGTGCCATGATGTCACAGCGTAAATTTGTACTTTTGCATGCAGCTCATGCTGGTGTGATGACAGCTCTTAAAATATTGAGCAATTGTAGGCCCGTCAGCATAAAATTATTCTAACATGGTGCTTTTATTAGTGCTTCAATAAATGCCTTTCTTCTTGTGTTCCAAGGTGGCATTTGCAAATGAGCTAATTTCTCAGCAGTACAATAATTGTGTTGCATTTATTTTGTGAGGTGGGGATGGAGAAGGGAGAAGAAAAATGCTGTTACATAAAAGAGGTTCTTTTGCCATCAAAACTACATTCGCCATAGTTAGGCAAGTTTAAAAAAGAGCAAGTTAACTAAACGACTGTACGATTATTTAAATGAGCTTGGTGCTTTATAAAGCCATAGAGGGGTATAAACACTTTTTCAAGCCATATAACAAAAGCCGTGACAGCCCTCTCACAAGAAACATTTCCTGAAAGTCAAGCGGAAACTATGTTTGCTAACTGATGACAGATATTTTGGGGTTCAGAATGTAACTACTTCAACAAACTAAATCCAAACCAGATGTCAGCTAACCTAATTCTCAGGGCAAAATGCATAAGAAATAAAGTTAAGGGAGGAAGTGAAATTTAAACTGTTGTCTTCTACTGTTTGTGTCATCTAGAAATAGACAAAACAGTGCAGAGAAAAATGATGCATGAATGAAACTGTGCAGTCATAGTGCTGACTTAACATGAAAGACTCGAATTTACCTGGATGCACACATCTAACAATTAATTTGAGAAGATTTTTTTATAATTTCTTGTTTGATTACTTAGACTTACAAAAACAACTGACTTTCCAAATTAGTGCTCAGTATGCATCACTCAGTGTTCACAAATGCGAAATACATTCAGTCACTGAAAGCATTTAATTTTAAGGGTATTACTTTAAGGGTATATTGAGGGTATATACATTTTTAAATCAATTATTCCATGAGCTAAGCTACAGCTGTTTCCAATGTCATAAGTCCTTCTTCCTTTCCTTTTTCTATTCCCAACTAAAAATAAATATGTTATTAAATTTAGAATTTATTCAAAGTCAACAACACCTTCTACTAAATAAAAATTAAAAGACTTTGAATATAGACTCTTACCAAATCTCTGAAAATTAAATATTTAATAAAATCTGTTCAGTTGTCCTATAGGTCTGAATTTAAAGGATCTTAGAGTTCTTAAGACAGAATTACACAGAACATATCTGCAGTAAAGGCACAAAAAGTGCTTCAGTGAGAAGTCATCTTAAAGAAAGGACTTAATTAAAGTGCATTGAAGAAGTAAATATAAGTTTAACAAGTGAGGAGATCTGGTTTTCTCTCAATGTTGCTCAAGATATGTGTCTTTACTTAAAATATCAGATGCTGAATAAAGTTGGATTTAACCAGAGCACACAGCAGCACTTTTCTTTTAGTGAGTCAGTTGCATGTCGACAGTATCAGGCACAGGCATAAAAAAGAAGAGAAATAGAGAGAAGACCAACATAATACTACATCTATTGCATAACTCCAGAACTGCAGTGGGTATATTGTGAAAGAGCACAGAAGTCAGCTACCACATTTTAGGTGTGTTTTTTTATCTCCTGACATACCTAGCTACAGCTAGGTATAAGAATGATTTGCAGCATGTAAATATCCAAAGACTATAAATATAAATTAAACTAGTCAAGAAATTACTGTTTAATTAAATTGCAAGGCTTTTGTTACTAAACCTGCAAAAACAGAGAATGTTAATGAGATATTTTATAAAGAATTTAGCTGTCAGGTGAGTGTATCTGTTTCGTAAGTAGATTATATACTTACTGTGTATATACTTATATATATATATGTATATATATAGCTATGTATATCAGTATATATATACAGTAGTTACAGTTGCTGGCAACAGTAATCCAAATACTTTTTTGGGATACAACAGGCCATGAATTAGTTCCCCAAAACTGTTGATTTGTGGCTGATGAGGCCCTAAAATTCTTGAAAGACTTTTAGAGTTTTAGCTACCAGTAGCAGAAATATCAATAAACAGTGACCTTTTCTGTTAAATTTAATGAGTAAAAATATATAGATAACTGTCAGTCAGTCCAAATAAATCTATCAGAGTTGTGATAACATTGATACTATTCCCTAAGCAAAAAGGGTAAATCCTACTGTTAAGAATGTAAGAAAACACATTACACAAAAATACAAAATCACTCCGGATTTTTTGCTTGACCAACTATGATATAACAAATCATCTCACCTCCAAGATCCCAGCTTAGATGCCTCCTAAATTATCTTTCTTAATTTCCCTCTACATATAACAATATTTTAGAGTTAGACTTATATAGAGGTATTACAGTATCCATCTGTCGCAAACGTGGATACTAAATCTTCGTTCGTGAAGCCTAGCCATGAATGAACAGTATCCACATGAATATATTATTTAAATAGCAAGTTAATTGTGTTTTCATTACCCAGTGAAAAAATCAGAGTAGGTACTGTTTCCTTCCATAGATAAGGAAGACTTGGACAAGGGGAGAACTGGAACACAAGGAGTAATGAAGTAAAGACAGAAGATCTCTCAGGGGCACTAGGGTTATGATAGAGACAATTCTAATCCTATTATTCATACAATCTACTCTACAAAACACTAAAAAACAAGCAAGAGATCATTAAGGTCATCAAAGAAACACAGGGAACAGTTTCAGTCAGTGGTAAATAGGGAACAAGGGACAAGGAAGAAAAGAAATGTATGAAGAAAACAATTGCATTTTTGACAAGGTGGAAGTATAAAAGATTAACAAAGTCACATGTCCTGGCAATGCAGTAATCTAAAACTTAAGCATAGTGCATAATAATCCTGTATATAAAATGAATGGATAAATGATGTATTTTTAATAAAAGAAAAATTAATAAAAAATATAATTTTTTGTGGATCTGGAATGAAAACATTAAAAAATATTCTTCAGATCAAACTTGTTATTTTAATCAACCCATAAAGAAATGTCTCATTTAGCTTCCTTTTTTGAATTTCATATTCACAATAAATTTCTTCTGAAATTTTATTTCAAAAAATATGACAGGCTTGATTCTGTAAATGCCAAGGTAAGATTTTCTGACCTTTTCAAAAGAAAGTCAAAGCAATTAAACCTATTTGCATTGGTTAGTATACTTTTGTGAACATATTTTCAATGGAGTTTAATCCATGTTTTTTGGTTGTGCAAGTTTCAAGCTGGATTCCCACCAAGCCCCCGAAACTCGACAACAAGGACCCACTTCCCAGAGAGGGAAGCGAAAAGAAACGACCCAAGCAGCCAAAGCTATAGGAAAAATTTATACAGATATATATTTTACATATGAGACAGATATATACAATGAGAATACTATACACCACAACTGCAGAAATCCCAAACAGTTCCCCAAAAAGGGAAGAGGGGGAGGGAGAAGGGAGAAGGACAAAAAGGGACAGAGACCGAGCAAGTCAACCAGTCAACTGAAGGCAAACTAGCAAAAATCTCACCACTTCCCTTTGAACAAGCAGGATGGCCAGACACGGCCCAGGGTTCTCCCCTCACGCGTGGCAGATAACAGCAGTCACTGTAGGGCTCAGCTCCAGATAAACCAGACCGAGACAGGGACCCACCGTTCTCGAACCTCGCCGGAAAGGAAGAGCTCGAGGTCCCTCCTGCTGGCTTTATTTATACCTCAAGTTACGTAAAGGAATAGCATGGAATACTTCCGTGATCACTTTCCTAGTTCCTTCCTGGTTACAAGCTGGTCTCCAGGAAGGCCTAGAGTGAAACCATCACATTGGTAAATAAGTTTTCCTGCTGAAAATGTTAGTAAGCTTTGGTTTACAGAAAAAAAAACTGCAGGCAGAACACATGCAAGACTGAGACTTGGGACTGTCCAGTGTGGAGAAGAGAAGGTTCAGGGGGAAGTTATCAATGGGCACAAACATCTGAAGGGAGCATGCAAAGAAGACAGAGCCAGGCTCTTTCCAGTGAAAGAGCCCAGTGGCAGGACAAAAAGCAGTGTGCACAAACTTAAGCACAGGAGATTCCTTCTGAACGTCAGGAGACACTTTTTCTCTGTAAGGGTGACAAAGTACTGGTCCAGGTTACCAAGAGAGGTTGTAAAGTCTTTATCCTGTATGGACAAGATCCTAGGCAGACTGCTTAAGGTCATCCTTCCTGAGCAGGGCAGTTGGACCAGATGAACATACAGAGGTCCCCTACAACCTCAACCATCCTGTGGTTCTGTGATTCTGTGAAGGCGGGGAAAGAGAGTCTGCTCCAAATCAACCAGATGACAGTCTTTACTAGGAAAGACTTCTGTTCCATGATTTTTTTTTTAAATACCCATATTTATTACTTTCAAATATTAAGGTTGAAGTATGAGGGTCCCTGCCGTTACAGATTAAGTCTTCATTATCCTTAAGTCCCAGCGTTAAAGGTATTCTTAAGAAATTATAGGAAACTACAGTATCCACCACGTACCTCTTACAGAAATCTCGTGTTTTGAAAATATCCCTTGCTTTGGAAGACTGAAGTTTCTTAATATTAAAAGGAGGAGATGTTCTAATAGGAGAGAAGTAAGAGGACCACTAAAGGCCCTAGTTATGTAGTGGCAGCCCTCTGAGGCTCCATGGGTGACTCCAGGAAGTGGGGGAGGGCTGTATCTATTCCTAAAAACATCAGAGGAATAGCAGGAAAGTCCTTTGGGGAAATATTGCACATGGGGGAAGGTAGAAGACCAAGCCATTGATCCTTGGAAACTGGAGAGTCCTTGGGGTTTTTTGCAACTGACCTACGGCATACAAGGAACAGAGTGACAATGTCACTTAGCAAAAGGAAATATAAACTTCAGCTCCACAGCTGACAGGTCTAAGGCAGGTGGAGTTCTGGTCTTATGGCATGCAGCCCCAGCTTCCTTGCTGCTGGTGCAAGAGCCACAAAGATGTCAACTTTGAAGACAGTATGATAATCTCAAGCTACAATTTGCTTTAATGAGTCTTGTGTCTAGAGTCATTTTCCTTTTCCTAGCTACCAATTGCCCTCTGTCTTCTTTTTCAAATTTCTCCTAACGTGCAGTTCTTCCTCCTAAATTTAAATCATGAATAATAATCCTTACACGCTGCCTCTCCTGAACTGTAGTCCTGTGTTTTGCTGTGAATTTTTCCTATCTCATTTAAACCATAAGCTTTTCACATGGGGCATGCATCTTGTAAATTTATGGTGTTGCAAGTGTGTTTAATGCTAATGATGTGCAGTGACAGGGCAGGGCAGATTCATCAGCAATGCCCTGAAAAAGAGGCAGCTATTGAATTCATAATATGGCACTTCATATTCACAAGAGAGGAAAAAGCTGTCATCTCAGAATAAGGGATCTGCTATAAAAGGAATGGTTATTTTGCACTAATGGTTATAAAGAATTCATACATTCCACTTCATTATCAATTCCATATAGCAGTGACTATTTCCTAATGTTACTTGTACCATAAAGCTGTTGTTTAAGTCTATTTGATCTCTCATATTTGTTAAAAGAAAGATTTCACTAATAAAAGGTAAATTAGACCCAAGGCGTATGAACAAAACACCCACATGCTCCTGCCCATCAAACTTCATAATGCAGGGAACAAAACAACTTTGTATGTACAATGAGGTGGAAAGTTCCTCAGTGATACTTACGAAACATCTGAGTCATACAAGAAAGGAGAAAGGAAGCAGAGTGCTGGGTGGACTAAACAAGGGAAATGCTTGGGAGCTGTAGTTTCAGAAGCAAGATGAAAGACTTCATCAAACATAAGGAGAACTTGCAGGAAAAGTAATGTCTTTACAAAATTGTTGAGGGCCAAAATACAATTTTTGAAGAGCCCATTTAATTAAAGCTCTGATCTTAAAGTAAGCTGAGTGCTCCTGGCAAAGCACTCAAACTTTTGCTCCTTTTTCATCTGGCAGCACCAGGCGGCAGCCTCTTCTAAGGACAATCTATGAATTTACTTCAGAGTACTGGGATGCCTGCTTTATGGTGAACTTGCCACTGACTGCCACAAGAGAGGAGCCTCGAAGAGAAGATACAAGGACTCCCTGAAACAACATCTCAGCCTTGGCCATATTGATCATCATCACTGGTCTACTCTGGCCTCCAATTGGGAGGTCTAGAGACACACTATCTTTAACACCGCTGCTTCTTTTGAGAAAGCACACAGGATCACTCTTGAGGAAAAAAGACAACTCAGAAAGAATCGTGTCTTGCAGAATGTATCACCTAAGGAGTCTTTCTGCTGTGTCTTTTGCAACTGGACATGTCTATCTCGTATTGGCCTCATTAGCCACCAGCACGCTTGTAACAAACGTGGATAGAGCCCTTCCCAAATCTTCGTTCGTGAAGCCCAGCCATGATGACTGGGATGCCTTGCTGTGTATGCTCAGATGTTTCTTAACAGCGATAACTAAAGGTAGGATTAAAATGAATGAGTCCCAGAAAAATTAAAAAAAAAAAAAAAAGATGAAGAAAAGAGGCCTGCATTGATCCAGAATAACATAAACCAGAAACAGAATTTTTGTTGGGACTTCATGGAAGGAAACATGAAATTTGGCATGAAAAATATCCCCAGCTATACTATGTTTCTTTCTCCTTTAGGAGTGCTACTCATAAAGTGCAAGTAGGTCTGCTTACTGGGACTTCAGAGGCAGCAGATACACTGCCAGCTTCACCACCCACCTGCGAACCCACAGGAAACCTTCCTTTAGCTCCCCACTCATACCACCCTCCTAAGCTGCTTCTCAGAGTAGGAGAACTTGTGGGAGGACCCCACAGACCACACTTTTCTCAGCCCTTCTCCCTGATCACAGCATAATTGTGACTGAGTTTGGCATCAGACAAAGTTGTGTAATTGTGTTGGACATCACATCCACAGCATTAAATATTTTTTTGCCATTTCTTTTAATTCCTTTCCACTCTACTAATAGCCAGTCCTCTGGAGTAATCAAGTTACATCCACTTGAAATTTTTGTGCTAGCTTAAAGAAATTATTTTTTTTTCTTTGTTTTAATATTTTATTGGTAGGGGGATGGGGGAAGCAGCCCTCAACTATAAATCTAGCATAAAGTTAAAGCAGTTCTGTCGTTCCTAGTCAGGTGTTTTGGTTTTTTGGTTGGTTGGGGTTTTTTGCCCCATATGAAATTAATAATTAGAATGGTTAAAGAAGCCAAGGACAGCAATTCCTACATGTGATCAGTTGTTTGACACCACTAACCTATCTAGATCATACTGCACCTTACAGGTACAGTTTTTACTCCCATCGTACATTTTTTCCCAAGAAAAAAACTATACAAAGCTAAAAACAGCAACAGGGGAAAAATATATAAAAATAAATAAGATATAGTAACAACATAGGGATTGAAAACAGTAGATTGCAGAAGTTGAAGAATTAATGTTCATATTTCTCCCAACAGTTTCATATGGCCAAAGCTATTCTTCAGGCTTTCTGTTGTGATTCTAGTGATCAAATACCCATAGTTAAACACACAAACTCTCTGCTCCTCTCTGTCTGCACCTGTGTTTGGTATAAGACAATTTCATTCTTGGCTTTTGCTTGGGTGTCATAGTAGTTAATATAATAAATATTTGAGGTAGAGAGTGGTTTGTCACCATTAATGATATATTCTTCAGACAATATATAAAGTAAATCACTTAGTTCCAGTGGTACTACAGGATATAAGTAGTATTTTGTTTCAAATACCTCTTCAAGTGGTATGTGTATTACCAAAAACAGGCCCGCAATTAAACTTTAAAGAAAATCATCATACCATCATACAGTGGCTCTCCAGAAGTGTCTTTGTATATCCCATAGAAATATGTCTCATAGACATATTTCTCATCATGGCTAGAGCCTTCCCAAATCTTCGTTCGCGAAGCCTAACCATGATGAGAAATATGTCCGTAAATAAACTTGATTGCAGATGCTGATAAGGTCAAAAAGTGAAAAAGGAAAAAAACACCTGTTTTTCCCTGAATTAGGAAGTACATAAAAATGCTTACCTCAAAAGCAGAAAATTTAAATTTACAATAAAGTTCATTAAATACTGTCCCTAACCAAAATTAACAAAATATCAAACAATATTTTTATGCTGAATAATAGACCCACATAAAACAAGATTAAAACAATTTTAAAACTGTTCTTAAAGCAATATTTTTCACCAGCTAAGTTAATATGCTCATATATGCACTTATGAAGGAAATAAGGAAGGAAGTAGTCTCCAAAAGAGGGAATAACTCTTCCATCATCAATGTTTTAATCCTTCCTGAGATTAAATGATGCTATACCCTAATATTACACCTGCTGCAGTCTACCATCTCTGTGCCAATTAAGATGGAAACTAAATTTTCTAACAACAATACCTAAGTGAGAACACTCATAGGGCAAGTTTTTATCTGCAGAATTCGTCAGATGTGCTCACACAGGATACAATTATTTATTGATCTAACTCTGAAACAAAAGTGGTGCTGAGGAAGATCTTGGCCTTGGTGCTGTGTGGCAATAGTTCTTGTCTTCTAGTTCAGCATAGCCAGCCTGTACTCTTGAGTACA